AGCAGGAAGCACATATGCATTCTGGGGCCACTTCACAGTTACAAATAATATCCCAGCATTTTACTTTTCCTGCTATTTAGTTCTATCCCCCTGGGCATTAGTTTAAAAAAGCAACTCTGCTTCATTTGGGTTTGCCCATCAGCAAGCAAACAGCACAAGATGATTTTAAGCCATAGGAAATAATAAAAAATGGCAATATACAGAAAGTGCCTCTGCCACCAAAGGTTCAGACAGCTGAACTATAGCAAAATTAAAAAATCACCAAAGCAGCCAAGGAAGCAGCACATCATGGATGCAAAACTGGATAGAGGACTTAACAAGTAAGGGATAAGACAGAGCTGTTGCTAATATATACAGGGAGGGCTTGGACAGTTCTGAGGAGTAAAGAGTTTTTGCACACTACACTGACTCTGCCAGCACTGAGCAGTCTCTAACAGCTTCAGCCAGGGCTGGTCTTTTCCTAGGCACCATGAATATTCCTCTCTGCTCCCTCCTGCAATGTCTAATGAGGTACCTCTGTACTTCACTGGGACAGTTAGGGTTATAGCATCATTTAAGTATATCTGAGCTAGCTTTAATGTAGCTAGTGAAATAAGGCTAATCATAAAGCCACACAACTGGGGACCTAGCTAATGGTGAACTAGCTAATTAGCTGTGTTGGGGGTTTAAGCAAACTAGCAAAGTCAAGCTGGTATGGCCATACTCAGCAGTGCTGCAGCTGCCCTGCAGACATACCCAAAAAATATTCAAAGCACCTGTAACACTGAATGACACAGCATGAAAACAGTAATAGAGGTAGATGGCAACCTAAGCTGGCAAGTCCAGTTACCAGGTAGCAGTAAAGTCTAGTGGGGTATGTTCTCCTTCCATGCTGCTGCAGCTGCCTGCTTGAGTCACCATGTTTCTGAGATATATTTTTAAAATATTTCAAATTTTGTGGTCCTTCTTCCCCTCCCATTCTTTCTCCCTAGCAGGGCAGAGATGTAAGCACTTTCTTTAAATGCAGCTACATATGGGACCAGCTATGGTACAGGCCCCCTGCTTAGACAACACTGCTGTGAACCTTCACCTAGCAAACCCCTTTTGGTTTTCATTTGAAGAGCTCTGCCTTTAGTCTGGTCGGCAGCTTCACTCATCCAACCCCAAGGCAACCTTGTCCTGCCAGCCAACGTGTAGGTGATCCACCACTCCAAAAGAGAAGAATCAGACTTACCATCCTTGCACAGTCACTGCTCAGAGTCAGAGCCAAGACAACAGTGAAAGGAGCACACACTTTCATCTTTGATCTCCTCTCACAAAGGTTTTGCCTGGCAGAGGGAAACTTCCAGGGCTGGGCTGAAGCAGGAGGGTGAATCAGCCACAAGCTTTTGCAAAGGACTGTGATTTACTTGGCTTTAGGGTATTTTAGTTTTCTAAGTAAGCAGAGCTGTTATCATTGTTAATCATTAATGTTTTTGTGGGTAGATGGGAATGCCATGTATTGAGATACTCACCCTAAACCACTGGGAGTGAAGAGTTTACAAAGTGCCTGACCCTTGGAGGTGATCACCAGCAGGTGTTTAAGGGCACCTCCAGAGGAGCTGATCCAATGTCGCTTGTGATCACAGACAATTTACCATCCAGACATTTCCTGTCTCTGTCCCTTCAGGAGCTAATGAAAAGCTTGGTGTAGCAATAACATGGAGCTCCAAAGCAAGCCCACTCAGGAGATGACATTACATTGCAAAATCTGGACCAGATCAATGCCAATATCACACACAAGAATTACTCATTAACAGATGGTTACCTGCCCAGCCATCACTTACAACAGCCCTTCAGCTACAGACTGAGAAAACTAAAAAGAAAGAAAACAGCCATTAGCAAAACCTTTAGTTACCAAAAAGCTCCTTCTGCAGCTGCCTGAGCAAAGCCATCTCTTGGAAGTGTTTGCCTGAGACAGCTGCACTGCAGCAGCATTTCTAATAGGGATGCAGAAGGTATTGCTAAAACTCAGATTTCACTAGTGGAGTCTGTTTCAGCCCCACCTTGCCCCACAACCAAAATCCACAGGTTTGGCTGGTACGACTGTGTCTGTGCTTGAGGCTTTTACCAGCCATGTCCTGTCAATCAGGGACCGCACCTCTTCACACCCTAAATCCCCACAGCCACAACAACAGAAAAAGAATACCATAACCCTTGCTTAAGTTGTGCTCTACCCTTTGAAGTTTCACCAGCACAGCTATGGAAGGGATGTGCTTTTTATTCTTTTAACCCAAGAAGGTCATGGCAGTAGGGCCCAGCAGCGCAGCTATTCCAGCACCGTTTTGCCATGATGGTTCATAATGCTGGAGAGGGTTTCCACTGGCTAAGCTATCACAGCTGTGTCTGTCACAATAACTGCCCTTGCATAACCTTCTTTCTGTCAGAAAGTATTGGAACAGCAGGAACCAGGCAAATTTTAATTTTTCAAGCAAGGAGCAAACAAGAAACAAAAAATTGTTTGCCTCTGTGTGTTCTTTGTAGCCTGAAGAACTGAAGTAAATAAAGCTTCAGAATAGACTCATGGAATAGATATCTTATTTTCATTCATTTAAAACATGGAAATAGGATGTACAGACAGTCTGATCTGCCTGAGAACAACCAGCAAAGCTGGAACATAGATTTCTACTTCTTTGCCTCATTCTTGACTTTGGCCAGCAGGCTTCAAGCTCATAATGCCTACACAACCCTCATAGACATCTGCTTGCCATCCAGGCTACTGACATTGCACAAAGAAAGCAAAAAGAGGGGAAAAAAACAAAAACAAAAACAAAACAAAAAAACACATAAACAAAATAAACACAACAATTAGCTTCTATTCCATCTAATGTTCCCTAAAAAACCTCTGTAGAAAGGGAGGAGCAAGGGAGCAAGGACTGGACAGTGAGGCGAGGAGCAAGAGAATTCTGCAGAAAACTGCAGAAATACCTCATTCCACCCATTCCCAGAATAAAATCCATCCATTTCAAGGACAACCAGAAACATTGTATTTCTGTAGCGACCAAGGCTGCAAGAAAGCATTTTTCCACACCTGAATGTAAGAAAGCAGAAAAGCAAGGATGCATTCTGTGTGTGTGTATGTGAGTGTGTGTGTGTGTCTACTGCCAGGTACTGCAGCTCAAAGCCATTGAACTCCAAGCAAGAGTTGCAGAGGGTCTTTCCGGGCAGGCACAGCTCTAAGCATTTAGCTCACATCCACTCCTCAGCATAAGAAAAAGGAAGAAGCACTAACAGCAGGAGCCACTTCAACTGATAGGACAGTGCTGGCACAAGGCAAAATTAAAAGACATAAAATCCAGGAGCTGCAAGAGAATGTAATGGAAATTACCCCTGAGTAAGGTCTGAATAACAACTAACAGTGATTTCAGGATTCAGACAGATATGAATCATTAAAAAACCCCAACTACTACATGTAGGCTTGCTGTCTTGGTTCAGAAGAGAAGTGCCTGAACAGGTCTTACAGCCATAGACAAAAAGCAGGCTTTAATATGTGACTTCTTTTGTAGATTATTTTTAATGGTTCATGACTCTTTCAGCTGTTCATAACCAGGAGTCTGCCTGCCTTCATCAGGTTTTTCCTAGAACTAGTAAATATGAAGTATGATACATATTTTTTTTGAGAAATGATGTGTCTCATTGGCATGAAAATGCTCAGAAAACTGAAGATTCAGTTTTGATATTGAATTCCTAAAAACCTCACAGATCTTTTTGCACTTCAGAATTTGTGAAGAATAAGGTCTGGGCTCCATCTATTTGTGTGTCATCATGTGAAGCTTTTGGCCATGAGCAGCATAAGAACTGTGCATGGAGGGACAGCAGGGGAACAAATCTGGGGAAAGATATCTGAGATACATTAATCCTTTGCTTTGGTCCAGTTTTATGCCATTCCAGATAGGGCCATTCAGCAGCACGGTCCTGGGTGAGCTGGGAATGACCCTAAAGGCAGAAGGACCAAGCAGGGAGGCCCATGCCTTCCTTCTCCTAACTCATGTTCACATCTGACACCACAGCCTCTGCGTGAAAAATTCAGATGTACACAGCTTCCAATGTGAGGATCATAAAGGTGGGGGGGAAAGAAGCAGCACCGAGCTTAGGGAGTTTCAGGAAGCATCAGCTTTTCTTATTTACTCATATAGACCAGTGATGCAATCACTGGTGCACGGTCACTTTGCGGAAATCACTCTTGACCTCAGGAATGGACTGACCAGAGATGAAGGCAGAGCTGGTGCACACAGCCAGCCACGCAGAGCACTGCATGGCCCGGGCCACAGCCCTCTGCCTCTGCCAAGGACCAGAGAGACACTCTCACAGTCTGCTAGCACCAGATTCCATGTTTTTAAGCCACTGGAGATGCCAAACATGAGAGAAAAGTCTTCTGCTGCAGCAAGGAGGTGCTTTTGGGTTGGTATCACTGCAGCTGAGAACCTACCAGCCTGCAAGACCTGAGGCACTGTGCCAAAACCAAGGCCCCAGTGTGTCAGACTGATGAGCCCACAGAGCTGCTGCTCTCCTTAATCTTCTCAAATCAGTGAATCCGTGCCTCATTATTTCCAGTCTATTGAAGGAAACTTCACACAAAGGGAGAAAACAGACAGGTATGCATGGAGCAACAAGAAAGCTAATGAAGACATGGAAACAATTAGTGGGGCATTCAAGATTAAATCCCTAGCATTAGATTTTAGATCTCATTTAGTGCCCATTTCAAGGGAGGCTCTGTAAAACACTATATAAATATATATAATGTAAATATATAACTAATATATATATAAATAATATATAAATAAAATGTAAATATAGAAAGCATATGTATACATACAAAATAAATATACAAATAAATGTGTGTGTGTGAAAGAAAGGAAATCTGGAAACAGGAGCTAGAGGAAAGCTCTGCCTTTGTGGTGATATATTTGGAAGCTCTACGATCTGCAGCCTGTATTACAGGTCATTACACCAAGGAGACTGCAGCTAAAGTCAGATTCTTGTTTTCTAATAAAATTCCATTTTCCTTTTAAAGAAAGGCACATTCCAACTCTTAACTTTGCTGCACATAATACTGACTATTTCCTGTGGAGGACACATAATCCAAACACATTTAGAGCCAGATTCTTCTACCGCTGAAGTCAATGAATGGTTTCAAAATAAGACTGCAAACTTTTTAGTGTGTTTGCAGGCTGTAATCCTTCTGTAACAAAGGCTAAAATGCCTCAGTTTCAGCATTTTCCCTTAACACTGGCATAATTACAGGAAAATGAAAAGACAAATAAGTACTCAATAAACAAGCAGAAAGAGGCAGAATCCTTGCTACAGGGGGTACAGCATGATAATGCTGCCTCATACATCTGCCTTTTTCTTACTTCCCATATTGCAATGACTTTTATTTCTTTAAATTTAACAGTAATTAATAGAAACCCAGACTGAGCCCAGACTCTGAACTAAGTAGTGATAATGAGACTATAGTAACAACCATCCTAAGTGGTTGAATAACAACAAGAACTACATTAACAGAGACAGCCACCAATACAAATTAATAAAACTGCTCACTTGTAACTCATCAGTTACTTCACTAGACATAAGCAGAAAAGACATATTTAAACACACACAGACGTGTTTGCGTTCATCCCTGTGTACCCACCACCAAGCGGCCTGGGAAAGTGTTGTCATGGACTGCAAGTTCATCAAAGTTGTCCATTTTTATGTTATTTCTGACCATTGTAAATGTTTCTGAGAAATCTACCACTCAGCTACTGCAAAGTTGACAAAACATTATAATCTTTTCTGATTGCTAACTAATTCCCCCATATGTTTTTGCAAACTTCTATGCTTTTTCATAGTAAAAATGTTTTCTTCTGTCGAAGCCAGGCTCTTCATCCCTTGTGAAGGTAACATATGGCAGCCAACTAAGTGGGCAGTGCTGCCTCCAGAGGTGATCTGCTGTCCAGGCTTTAGCTGACATTGTTGTTAGGAAGCCCAAGGGCAGCTTCCTTGATAAGGACACAGTTGTAGGCTACATCATTGTTGACAATAGCATCTAGTGCTGGATCTAAAGTCTCTGTGAGTGTGCTGTGTCCAAGATGTTTATACAACCTGATGAGTGCATGTGAATTGAAAGAAATTAGAAGTATTTCTAGCATGAAAAATACAACTTTAAATTCATCTTTCAAGGAGGGTAGGATGCCTAGGATTGTGTGTAGCCATTCTGCTTCTGGTGTAACAGCAAGGGGCTCGGTGCTGACATGAGACTGATGTATAAACCCTCCTGAC